AAATAATTCCCACATTGATCTGGATTGGAAGTTAAGAAAGTGAAAATATGAAAATGTATATTTGTGATTAAGTAAGAAAAAGAGTAAATGAATAATAGTCACAAAAAGCTTTCCAAAAAAGAGAATGAGAAATATTCTAAGTAATAGAAGGTTTTCATAAAGTATTATCGAAAATAATTTTTCTTGATAAAAGCTTATAAATATTACATTATTTTTATTCAAAATTACTAATATAGAGGTCACATTTTGCCAAATGTTTTTATTTTAAAAATAAATGCAACCCCAAATCTCCACCCACTTACCCCATATCTCCACCCACTTAAGTTAATGGTGTCCAAATTACTCCGTTTCTGTTTACTTCTCATGTTGTGCGAAGGTTAAGAGCCCGTTTGTCAACCCAGTTTTTTGGCTTATCAGGCTTATCAGTCGACTTTTTCACCAAACACGTAACTTTTGTTCTCGCGCGCTGAATTGTGTAATATGTAGAAAAAGTAAGGTTGGAGTTACTTTTCTGGCTGTATTGGCTAGAGTTACTGTAGAAGACTATTTTAGCTATTTTTACATATAAATTTTTCTTTATTTTATTAATAAAATATATTTTTCAATTTTTTTTCTTCAATCAGCAGAATCACCAATGCAGTCACTTTAGCCAAAACTTCATAAATTTCAGCAGAATCAGTCAAAACAACTGATCTTCGTGCTACCAAACAAGCTGTAAAACTCTATAACAGAATAGGAAGTCTGGTGCCCTCTTACGGGTCAGACGGTTTACCATACAACAATTTAGGGGTGTTTGGATCTACTTATTAAAAACCGTTTATGATCTTTCACGAAGAAGAAATAAATATTGGTAGGGATGTAAAAAACCGACCCGCAGTGACCCGCCCTGCCCCGAGACATTTGGGGCAGGTCCGGCCCGCCCCGTCTTCCAAATGGGGCGGGTCCGCCCCGCCCCGCCTATACAATAGGGCGGATCCGAGTATTAGTATTGACACGTGCCTCCCCGACCTGCCCCGCCCCGACCCGCTGAATACATAAACATATATACTTTTTCTTAAATTATATTACAAATGTACTTCAACATACATATGTGTATACATTAAATCATAAATTCTTTGATCTTATAATATATTAATACATATATTAGAATGAGATGAACGACGGATTATCAACGTCTTCTTTATATATAGCATTTTAATACATATGTTCAATTATTAATATAATTAAATAGATTAACTATTCAAGTCTGAGTTTTTTTTCCTTAAATTTTGAAATTTTTAGGATATCATGAATTTGATTTAATATATTAATTTTTAATTATTATTTAGAGAAAACTTGATGCAGATTCAATTGGTAACAACTTCCCACAAATAAAAATACATACTAGTACTAGCTAATTAGGTTACGGCGGGGCGGGACGGGGCGGACCCGCCCCACATGGGGCGGGTCATGGGCCAACAAGTTTGGACCCGTGCAGGTCACGGGGCGGGGCAGACCCGCCCCGCCAAGTCATAGGGCGGATCTGGGTCTTATAGTACCCGCCCCGCCCCGACCCATTGTCATGCCTAAATATTGGAGTGTTTGGGCGAAAGTCCAAAATTACTCTTTTGGGTGTTCCAAATTACTTCTAGAAGCAGTTTTTAGAAGTTTGTAGAGACCAGCTTCTGAAAAAGTGATTCTGTTTTCGATTTCCAAAATGAAGCCAAAGTATAATCAATTCCAAACACTCCTGACTAACTAAAAAAAGTGAATTTTGTAGTTGGATTTATTAAAAATAAAAATAAAAGCGCACTTCTTACACTTGTTTTGGATATCTTTTTCTTTAATTTATTTAAAATGTATTTGAAGTGTGAATTAAAAAATTAACTCGTTTCAACCTAATTATAATAAGTCACTCCGTATCATTTAACAATTTGAAACACTTCTTACCTCAAAATAGAATAGAAGGGCTAGTGAAAAATACGGAAAGTTCTTCTCAAAATAGTGCTAAAAATATAGCACTATTCTTTTAGAAATTTAGATTATTTTTATTAAGAGCAATTTCCTTAAAAAATCTAAAGCTGGATGGGGATATTATGCAATTTGGTGTCTCTATGTGGGGGAGTGCATTTTGGACCTTTTCTCCCTCAATAGTCTATGTCACCAGATGTAATTGTAGTCCTCTTTGTCAACGTATTCCCTTGTTATGCATATGATTTTTTTTTGGGGGGGGGGGGGGGTGTTATGCATATGAACTTATGAAGTATGAACGCAAGCGTTTTAATTCAATAAAATGTGTACATCATTTGTCAATTTGTGGGCCTTAGATGTTTTTGTATTGTGGGTACTCACAATAAACATAGTGTTGCTTGCTGTCATAAAGTTAGTAACGCGTGACTAAATCATGAGAGGAAGAAGAAAACAATTGTGTTAATTTATGGAAATAAATAGCAATGATGATGTGTTGAGTCTAGAGCGTGTGAAGTGTGAACATGTTATTATCATTATTAGACCGGATATTTGGATGATCAAGAAGAGATGTAGAAGGGTTGGCTGTGGATGTAGCGTGTAAGATCATGCACTTAAGTTATTATTAGAATATACACTTTTTTTTGTACAAACTACTACTATGTACATATGTGTTGTAAACAATCTATCTTTGTCTATGAATAACTTGTTCATGGACATGTTTTGTTTGTGAACATATTTTGTTTATGAACACACTATTCAAAGGCATGTGTACTGGTAACTGGTGTTTACAAAAAAATGTGTAACAAGTAGAGTTGATATTAAATTTTTTCATAATTGGTTTGATAAGTAATCCCGTATTAATTTAGTTGTTTGGGCAAATTCAGTTTTTATAAGATTGACTTGGTGGAACTTGTTGAACAAAGCAAATTCCTATTTGCTGTAAACAGTATTTGATAGAAAATGAAGTTTAGTTGTTGAGAATATGTTTGAAAAAGAAGAATCAATATTGATCACATTCATTATAAGATAATGGGAAGAACTAATGCATTACTACCACCATAATGAAATAATGTGTTGGATTCAAAGATAAATCCAAAAAAAATAGTTGTAATAATGCTTTATTTTTAAAATTATGAGGCTATAATAGGAAAATTTAGAAATAGAAAAAATATGAATGTTAGGACTAGAAAGGAAAATGGAAAGATATGAGAGTTATGGAGGGGTATTTTAATTCATATGAACGGGGACGTGGATGAAATTATGAAAATGAAAACAAGCATTCTTCAAATTTAAATAAATACGGAGTACTCCGTATAAAAGATCAGATGAGGGAGACTCTCGTATCCTTGTATTATCTAGACACTGTTTTCGTCTATGTCAAATTATTTCTTTTTTAACGAAACCAATGCATGATCCGTAATACTTTTTCATTTTGTAACATTAGCCATTAGGTGCAGGATAAATAAGACAATTATTTTAAGGCACATAAAGTCTATGGGGTAGGTCCCAAAATTCTCATCACTTTGGTACACCAACCAAGTAAGTCTGGAATGTAGGGTTCACAATTTCACATCCGAATGATAAAGGAGTAATGAATTGGTCAGAATCCCATAAATGTTTTACACATTGCTAAGCATTCTGTAAAACGAACACTTGTGGACACGTTAGGAAGCCGTTTGGCAACACAATTTTTCGGTTTATCACGTTTATCAGTCAACTTCTTCACCAAACACGTAAATTTTGCTTTCGCGTACTGAATTGTGTAATAAGCAGAGAAAGTAAGGTTTGAGTTACTTTTCTGACTGTATTGGCTAAAATTACTGCAAATAATTATATTAGCTATTTTTAGATATATATTTTTCTATATTTATTATTAAAATATATTTTAAAAATATTTTTTCTTAAATCAAAATTAGCCAATGCAGTCACTTCAGCCAGAATTTCATAAATTCAGCAGAATCAGCCAAATCAGTCGATTTTCGTGCTACCAAACAGGCTCTAGAATCGACACAATGTGACAAATATATAGAATGGGTGGAATAAATAAGTAAATAAATAAATATATGAAATAATATGACATACTCTTGGTAGAACCACTTCAAAATCATGTAGCGTTACACTATACTATTTATTTATACAATTTCAAAGAAATTGCCTCGCGTCTGACTAAAATTCTCCGTAATAGAAAATGCACAACTAGAGCATTATGTTTTTTTTGCTCTTTATATGCATGTTTTCTTCTCTTTATAGGACCAAGTTATTCCTACTAGATATTATTTATCAAAGAACTCTTATTTATGCACTTTTGGTGACTCAAAATTGATGTAGTAGCAGTTTTTCCTTTTGTTTATAGATACAGTTTATGAATAGTAAATGAAATTGCAACAATATTATCTTCCATTTAGGCAGAATTTGTGGCCTGTTTGAGGGACTTAGGGTTGGTTTGCAACTCCTTTTAAAAAAGCACTTCTCAGCTTTTGATTTTAAAAAGCACTTATTTTCCCAAACACTACAACTTTTATTTTTCTCGGCTTCCGCGTCAAAAGTGCTTTTTCTTTTTCTATTACACAAAAAAAATTATTTTACCAAACACTACCCACTTTTACTTTTCAAAATCACTTTTTTCTCAAACATTATCAACTTTTATTTAATTAATTCTCCCCATTTCATTAAAAAAGCACTTTTTTAAAAGTAAAAGCTGTTGCAAACAGACCCTTACTTATACGAACTCAAGCATACTCCTGGTTTTATACTTTATGTTCAATGCAATTCTCTTTTGATCTTTAACTTTTCTAATTCTATGTATCAACTTGTGGCATGCTTGATTCAGTACTAAAAGTATAAGAGTTTTAAATTATAATTTTAATATATGTAAGTTTTAACCATTAACACTTCTTTAAATACTATGTGCTGGAATTCATGTTAATTTTTAAATCAAACTTCCATATTTCGTTTGATTGCAGGATTTTGGATGCAATTCCAGAAACCTTGCTGACTAATCCATCTTTTTCGTAATAAATATATGATGATGATCATCTCCCTTTTTGCAGGGATGCAAGCCGGCAGAACTCATAGTCATGGATAATATTACAGGGGGTTCAGTACCAGTAAGCCCCCCATGCTCATCATCTTTCCCTAGCCCAGTTTTATCCCATTATGTATTTAGCAATGCCAACAATGACACTGACCCCAACTCTCTTATTCCCTGGCTCAAGAATCTTTCCCATTCATCATCCCACCACCATCCCTACATCCCTGGCATTTCCATCAGCGCTCCGGTCACCCCGCCCTTGAGCTCACCAACCGCCCGTACCCCAAGAATGAAAGACAGCCATCAAAACTATCCTTTCCACCCGTATTATTCTTCGACCACATCGCCAAGTCCACCTGGGTGGCTCTCAGGTGTACAAACCCCACAAGACGGACCCTCATCTCCAACTTATAGCCTCGTCTCACCAAACCCGTTTGGGTTTAGGGAGTCACTATCGAACCACGGATCACGGATGTGGACTCCCGGGCAAAGTGGTACATGCTCTCCTGCAGTTGCTGAAGTGGCAATGTCAGATGCATTTCAAGCCGAGTTTGCATTTGGGTGCAATTCCAAGGGTGTAGTTACACCATGGGAAGGAGAAAGGATTCATGAAGAATGTCTCAATGATGATCTCGAACTTACTCTCGGCAACCCGACCACTCGAGAGTAAAAGTTCAAGACATAGAATGAGCATTTCTTTGTTCATTCTCTACTACTTCATTCGAAGGAGCTCATGTGTGATACACATGAAACCAATGACTTTATTTCCACATTTGGTTATGTGAAATGTGAATACATTAAACCTTGCTCACATGAGCTCCTTAGATTTACTCGTCATTCGTTATGTTTCTCTCTTTGTTTTTCGCGGGAGATAACCTTCGAATTGCTGCTTATATGGTGGCTTTATTTGTATGCACCTATTTAGCTCAATTTCTATCTGTTACCGTATTGTTTCTCAGATTTTTCTGGATACATTTCCTTGAAGGTAATTGTGGGGATTTATGCAATTCTTAGTTCTCTTTGTACCAGTACTATTAAAAAAAGACATAACAAGGACTTATTCAAATTGTGTATTTGTTTTAATAAGTCTTTTAACAACAGTGCATTGCAAACCAATATTCCTTTAGTCAAGGGTCCGGTACACTTACAATCTTCAAATAATCATGATAAGTGTAAACGACTCAAAAATACTCCGTAAATATTTTAAGATGAACATTTTACGAGAAAATGGGTGTATCCATATGGGGGACCATTGGAACAATAAGGTGACTTAAGCATTGTTTACTTCACCTATGCAGCGCCCTAAGCAAAATATTTAGAACATCTACGGCCATTTTGATGATCAGTAGTAATAAGCATACTTTTTTATTCCATTACCCATCTTCCAACATTAGTCCCAAAAGTCCACAAGTCTAAGATAATACAAAATATATTCATTTTTAGAAAAAATTGAACCCAAGTTACCTGCAACTTAGTGAACCAGTAAAAACAAAAACAAAAACAAAAATACAAAAAGCAAAACAAAGGTGAACAACCTCCTTTCTCACCAACGGCAGTTTTGCATCCCAGATGACTACGAGGATGGTGGCCGGGTGCTTCTCGATCCCATCGTACAATGCCCTTTCCCTGCTCCCCCAATCTTCTTCTTATCCTCTGCTTCCTTTCCCCGGCAGAGGAGTGTTCGTCGCTTTCACTAATTTCTTCTTTCCGTGCACAACATGCTTGCCTCAGACGCAAGGCGTGCATATCTCCCGTCCAAATTTGACTATTTTTTCTTTTGGGAGAATTTGACTTTGCACCCCATTTTCAAAATCATTAATATTTGCACCCTATTTCACTATATAATCATTTGACTTTGCACCCCACTCCTTCACAATTTTTGAGCTAATGGGGTGCAAATATTAATGATTTTGAATATGGGGTGCAAAGTCCAATATGACCTAAAACATGGGGTGCAAAGTCAAATTCTCCCTTTTCTTTATCATAGTTGTAGATAATAAAGTCATCTATCCACCACAACTTTCAAAACTGAGATTGGATCATCCAACTAAAAGATATGAATAAAATGGTAGGAGACTGCATCCTGAAATTTCAACAGCGATCATATGACTTGCTCGTCTGTTTTCACCTTGATCCTCTCACATTCTCGTCATGGTGCCTTCATATGACTTGTAGAGCTTTAAGTTATCGCTTTAAGTTATCTTTCATATGGAACTTGAATCACATCTTTTGGATGTTCTACGAAAAGATATGTTTGAATGATTGACAGAACGTCATCTTGATCACCGTTTTCGAGCTTTATTCATCCACGTTTGATCTCGTACTTGATCCTTGAACTCCCTTGACTTTAAGATCACTCCTTTAATGACTCATGGACCTTCGATGCTTCTCAAAAACTCTCAAATGTGCCTTGATTCGCCTCGGATAATTCTCCAACTCCGGTTACAGACTCAATTTCCTGATGTTAATTCTAAAAACACCAAATGCAAACCAAAACCCGACAAATTATTACTTGAACTAATTAAGTGCTTTATGACACATTTAAGCTAAGAAAATTAATAAAAGTCAATCCAAACACGCATCAAATGCATGTCAAAATATGGACTTATCATTTGGAAACATAATTTTTCAACGCAACAAATTCTTTTCCATTGTCACTCTTTACGTACAGTACGTACTTCCTTATTAAATTGCCTTTTTGTCATAGCAAAAAATTGTTTTAAAATAGTGTCAACTTCTCCTTTGTCTTGTAACAAATGAACCCAAACAACCCGTAAATGATCATCAACAGTTGTTAAAAAATAAAGTGCACCACATGATGACGGATAACGATAAGGACCCCATACATCAAAATGAATCATTTCAAAACATTCAACATCTCAAGCATAATTTAATTCAAACACATCTCTAGTTTGTTTAGCATGTAAACATACATCACACTAGTGATGGACCCGGTTCGGGCCGCCCGGCCCGGGACCGGACCGGCCCACTACTGTGCGGGCCCGGAACCGGCCTGGTTCTCGGGTCCGGGCCCGGTTCGGCCACCGAACCGGTGGGGGTGGCGGGTCCGGGCTCGGGTGTTGGTTTTGGTGGCCCGGCCTGGCCGGGTCGGGCCCGGGCCTAACGGTCCTATTTAAAAAAAAAAATTATTTAGCGAGATTGAGCGCGGAGTCTCTTGAGACGCCTATATGCTACCACGATTGGTTGAAGGCCGCACGTAGAACTCAAGAAATGAGCATCACCCCCTCCCAAGATTTTATGGATGACTCAACAACCGACGGTGGCTCTGCCTATGTCGGAGATTCCGATTGATTAGTATTTTACAATTTATTATAAAATGTATTTTGTAGCACTTGTCAAATTAATTTGTACTTGTACTTCACATTTCAAAATTGTAAACTTGTACTTCATATTTCAAAATTGTAAATTTGTTATTGTACTTCAAATTAATTTGTAAACTTGTACTTCATATTTCAAATAAATATGCGTTCATTTTTTTTTATATGTAGCACTTCTTAAATTAATTAATTGGTTACAAACTTACGACTTAAAATTATTTCTCTAAAATCTAAAGGCGGTTTTTAAATTAAAAATACATTTACAACAAGTAATTTGTTTAAATACTTATACACCTATTTTGTAACATTTGTAAATTATAAATCAAACCACTTTTCTAAGTACAATTAGATTTAATTAATTCATTAAATTAATTAACTTATTTTACAATATGTATAACTTAAAAAAAAATTAATTTTTTTAAAACCAACCTCCCAAACGGCTATATAGTCGTTGGGGCTTAGGGTGGGGTGCAGGGGGGGTCCCGGGGGTGGTGGTGTGGGGAGTGGGGTTCAAAAACATCTATAAATACATCTATTTTCTAACATTTTTCTACACCTCTTCTCCAACTCTTCTCCATCTTCATCTTCTCTTATTATCCTACATTCCTACTTATACATATACCATTTTAAAGATGGAAAGTACATCTTCCCTTATGCAAAACAATTTTGATAAGTGGAAGGACCCGAAGACCGGACTGTGGTGGGCAACTTGCAAGTGGTGCAAGAAAGAGTGTAGCTTGGGGCGTTCACACGGATACGGGATGCCAATAAAACATATGAAGTCCTGTGACAAAGGCAAAACAACAACCAACGGTGGCAGAAATCCAATTGATATTTATTAGAAAATGTATTTCGTATTGTTATTTTTTCTCAATTCTCAAGTGTAGTTCCTATTTCAAATAAATGCATTTGAACTTTGTTTTTAATAGGAATCTGTATAATATATAATTATTTAATATATATATATATATAGGGGTGAGATTACATACAAACTAGTCTTCCCATGCTAACCTACAAACTGTTACAAACTGTGCATCTTTACATTATTTGTACTGCATATTGAAGTTCAAAGCATATTATTTGTACTGCATATTAAAGTTCAAAGTGTTGCATATTATTTGTAATGCATATTGAAATTCACAGTGTGCATCTTCACATTATTTGTACTGCATATTGAAGTTCAAAGTGTTGCATATTATTGAGTTTGTAGGTTAATTAGTATTTTAAGCATGGTTTGTACTTGATCTCTTACCTGTGTGTGTGTGTGTGTGTGTGTGTATATATATATATAGATTTAGGTTCATGTGAGAACTTAATCTTAGGAGAGCAAAAAAGAATAAATTTGAGCCATTAGATTAACTTCTAATCTAATTGTGACATTAACTGTCATTAAGGGCATTCACGTCACTTCTAATTCTACCGATTTTCACAATCTCGTACGTTTTTTATTTCCTTCCTTCCATTCCTTCCTAATGTGTTTCTTTCCTAACGTGTTTCCCCTGCGCATTGCTTCTCTCCTTCGCCATGGTCATGCTTCTTTCTTCATGAACTGACAACTTTTCTCGAAATATTGGTTGTGATTTTCCTGTGAGAAGCTTGATATATTCCTCCGTAGTTTGCTGCTCCATCCTAACATTCTTCCATGGATTTCGGTTAGTATTATTCCCTGTTGAAGTTCACGGAGTTTGAGTTTTCCTCACATAGAATCGTTATGTCATCTTAATTGATTTTGTAAATAGACGGATGATTCTTAGTTTCTTTCGGATATCGTACGTGTGGCGGTTGTTGTTTAACCCTTCTTAATCTATATCAATCATTAAAAACAATGGATTTGTATTGATTAGGTCCTTTCTTATAAATTTTCTTATATGCACGTTAAATTATTTATTGATGTTGTTATACCCATTCTGATATTGCACTTTTAATGTGCTCTGTGAGCTAAAGTATTTGTTTCTGAAAAAGTTGTGTGCATGGTTCAATCAGGTTCAAGTGATGTTAACTTCGGTGCATCTGCAACAATTTCTCAATCTTTTGATGTTAATACAATGCACATTTCTCCGGGATCCTGTAGGTACTGGACACCGGATTAGTGCATCTACAATGTCATGTTATGCATTTTACACGTTTATTATGAAATACATACATGATAGCCATCAATTTTTAGATAATAACATTAAGTTTTCAGTTGAATTTTTGATGTACTTAGTTTACTTTGTTCTTTCACTTTTCATGAATTAGTTTTTAATTTTACCTATTTGTTAATACAGGTAAAATCGGATGGCAACATCATATAATATGGAACAAGTATGATGCTTTTGGAAGAAAAGTGTAGTTCATAATGTTAAAAGTGCAGATATGGAAATTTAGAAAATGTAATATATATAGTAGTGCACATTTTATATATCTAAAATGCACATGATAAAAGTGAATTTTATTTTGTAATAGAGTGCCAATAAAGTTATTCATGAAGTGTAATATAATAATGCATTTGCATATATCTAAAAAATATGCTTGAATATTTATATTCATTTTTAAAACATGTATGGATGTGCACAACATGTGTGGAGTGTAGATTAAAAAGTCCAAACCAAAAGCATAAATCACTTTATATCGATGGAAATTAACTGAATGAACATCTCATTTCTCTTGAGATCGAAAAATATCCAAATACTTGATTAAATTGATGTTGCATTATATTTCAAATAAAACTGCATTTATTTAATG